ATTGCATCCTTCTGCGCAGGCACTGCAGGCAGTCGTTAGTCACTGTGCTTAACTTAAGCACGTATCGTGGCAATCGTTCTTCATTACGAATTAAATCACGCACGTATCACGGCAGTCGTCCTTTTAAGTTAAACTCAATATTTTTTTTATATAATTAAAAAAAAATTATGTTTTTAGATGTATCTAAATAAAAATAATAACAAAAAATTTATCTTTTTTTATGTCATCTTAGCATATTTTATGCTACAGAACGAATTATTTTTTTTAACATATATTGTTATGGGAAAACGCGTTTCACATAACGAACTTTTCGCATAACAAACTTGCTCCTGGAACGAATTAAGTTCGTTGTGTGAGGCACCACTGTACTAGTCTTTCTCTGATTGGCTTATTTCACTTAGCATACTACTCTCCAGGTCCATCTATGCCATCACAAAAGGTAAGATTTTTTTTTTTCAGCTGAGTAATATTCCAAAATTTAAAAAAAGAAAAAAAAAGAATGAAGATTAGCCCAGCTGGCATAAACTAGTGGTCGAGCTTCAACCTATGAACCAAAACGTCATAGTTTGAATCCTGGTCAGAGCACAGGCCCGAGGTGTGGGCTTGTGGATACTCATCCTCTTCTCTGGGCTCCCTTCTGCATATTCGTGTCCATAGGTATGCTAACTGGCCATGCACAATGCAAGAAGCAGCTGGTCAATGATGCTCTCTCAGCATGCACGCTTCTATCTTTCTCTCTCCCTTTCCCTTCCTCTCTGAAATTAATAAAAAATATACTTTTAAAAAATAAATATTAAAAAGAGAAATAAATAAACTAAAATTGTAAAGAAAAAAAAATAGGATAAAAAATCAGACCTTTTACAATTTCTAACTGTTATATTTGAGGCAAAGGTCACAGACTGCATTAACATCTAGGGACACGAATATGCAGAAGGGAGCCCAGAGAAGAGGATGAGTATCCCCAAGTAGTTCTAAACAGCATCACTGGAGTTGGTCCTTGTAAGTAGACTAAGAATGAACTAGCCAGATTCTACCAAGTGAGTTAATTATAGTCCAGATTTTAATTGACTACATTGTAAAAGTAATCTCCCCTCCCCATACCATCCTATATAATAAAGAAGTAATAGGCAAATTGACCATAACTCCATCCTATATAAATAAAGTAGTAATATGCAAATTGACCATCACTCCAACATACAAGATGGCTGCCCCCATGTGGTCAAAGATGGCTGGCAGGGGAGGGAAGTTATGGATGATCAGACCAGCAGGGGAGGACAGTTAGGGAGGACCCAGGCCTTCAGAGGAGGGCAGTTGGGGAGGGGGGGCAGGCCTGCAGGGGAGGGCAGTTAGTGGTGATCAGGCCAGCAGGGAAGGGCTGTTGAGGGGTGACCAGGCATATAGGAGAGGACAATTAGGGGTGACCAGGCTGGCAGGGAGGGCAGTTAGGGGCAACCATGCTGGAAGGAAGGGAAGTTAGGTGTGACTGGGCCAGCAGGAGAGGGCAGTTGGGAGCAACTAGGCCTGCAGAGGAGGACAATTAGGAGCGACCAGGCCAGCAGGGGAAGGCAGTTATGGGTGACCAATCCAGCAGGGAAGGGCAATTAAGAGAAATCAGGCCAGCAAGGGAGCAGTTAAGCATCAATCAGGCTGGCAGGGGATTGGTTAGGGGGTGATCAGGCTGGCAGGCAGAAGCAATTAGGGGCAATCAGGCAGGCAGGCAGACAGGTGAGCGGTTGGAGCCAGCAGTCCTGGATTGTGAAAGGGATGACCAACTACCCTCAAGGGGTCCCAGATTGGAGAGGGTACAGGCTGGGCTAAGGAACACCCTCCTTCCATGCACGAATTTCATGCACCGGACCTCTAGTTTAAGATAATAGAATAATACATTTAGTTATGTTATCTGTGGCAGAAAAGAAGATGAACTTTAAAAAGCTCTCTTTCTGATCATTGTGACTTTTAATGTTCAAAATAAGCGGGGCGGGGGGGGGGGGGGGCCTGAAATGTTTGCATAGTTTCTTTTCCGTGAACTAAATTTAGACTTTACCAATTACATTTCTTTCACTTTCCATGTTTCCCACAAGAGTTTAGAACCAAACTCAATCTGGCTTTACTCACATTGGCCTGAACTGTTGTGTTCTAATTCTCTCCACCTTTGATCTTCACATTGTATTTCATCTTGATTTTCTATTCGTGCACACTTTTCATCTTATTTTAAAGAATCAGGTAGACAATTAGTCTACAATAATTTGTCAATTATTGAACTAAGTAAGCTTTGCTGAATCTATTAACTGTATGCCTCAAATCTCTCCTTCTTTCCTCCATCTCGTTCCAAAGGCAGAAGTGGAAATTCCAGTTAAATGTGCACAGAGCAGGCAATGTGACCACACTCTTCTACTCCTAGCTGCTGCGTAATAATTTTCTGTTATTCAACAGATAAATCTAGGAGCTGAGAGAGGGAGAAAGGAAGTCAGTATGAAACAACTTAATTTCTTCCTTAAAAGTCCCAAAGTTTCATATGGTTATGGAGAGAGAAGGTGTCACCCAGGTTATGTCTAAATATCATAGTAATTGGATCTACAAAAAACTGTTTAAAGAATGTGCTTGTAGGTTACTTCATGTCTCCGTGTACAAGGCATCATATCAGTAACATGTCCTTCTAAATTGTACTTTTCACCTCCAAGTCCATTTAGAGGCATTATTCAAAATTTGTTGACACAAAGTACCACCTGGTTTAATTAAATTGAAATAATTCAGGACAGGGAATGGTGCCTACACAATAGGAAGATGCTTTCCAAATGTTGCTCTTCCAATGGAAGTATGTGGAATCCGTAAAATAACAATAATTATTCCAGCACCATAAATCAAGCTAAACTATTTGTTTCCAGAAGTGTCTAGCAGAATGAACACCTTCCAGACTGAAGTCATCTCAACATAACACAGCTGTTTAAAACAACACTGGAATTTCTTTGGTTTTCCTTTTGTAATGAGAAAGCAAGTTTTGAGGCATGGATGATATGTAGGATTTACAACATCATATTTAAGAACCTAGGAAAGGGATAAATAAGAGGATGACTGTAATGCTTTGAAAAAAAAATGGTTTTTAATTTTACTTAAAAGGATCTTCTCTAAAAGGCAATTAAGTATGCAAACGTAAGGCATGTAGGATATAAGGGTACAAGACATAATAGCAAATAGGAGAGAACACTGTTTTTCAACACAGTCTCAGGAAGTAAAAACAGATGAAGAGAGAGGCTCCATTTAAATATTTCCCCATCATGTATAAGCTAAGATTACACCTATCTAAAGTGATAGTGCACTGCAGAGGTTAAGAACCAGACTTTAGGATTGGATAGGTTATCAGATCAGTCAAATCTGGCACCAATTCAGCAGTCTTCCTTTAGTAAGAGATCCAAGAGAGGTTAGGAATGGGAAAGAGAATGGTGTCTGTGGGCCATATGCAAAACTCTCAGGAATTTTTCTCGGGAGCATCAGATATTCTAGATTGATAACATCGAGCCTGGGCATGCAAGGAAAAAGAATCAGAGGGAAAGGTTCATTTCATCCACTGCCAGTTTCTAGAGTACAGACTCTAGAACATTTGTAGTTCAATCTGCCAGTGCTGATCGCTACTTTACTTCCTCACTGCCTGTTCTGGATCAATTACAGGGCTGATGAGCTTTAGAAGAGTTAAATTAAAGGGTGGTTGCTTTTGCAACTTGGGAAAGGAGGAGATGAGAAATTCTCCATTTTCTGACTCTTCAGTAGAGTGCACAGAATCATGCGTCACTCACAGCTGCAAGGGCACAAGTTTTGTTTCGTGGAAAGTGTGGTGCCTTCTCCAATGCCTATACAGGCACCAGTAACTGTTTGGTAAACAAATTTAATTGAGTTGTTCAGCAAGTCTATTTATTTCCAGATACCAGATCTATTTGCTTCTTACAATTTGATCATTTTTTGTTTATGGTTGATGATTTCCAACTTAAAACATTTTTTCACACTACAACCTATCAGTTTGCTTTGGTAAAATGTGATTCTTGAACTCTATTTATACTTTTTCTAAACAGAAGAAAAAGCAGCAAAGTACAATAAAACCGCACCTTGAATGTGGCCTTTAGGTAGTTTTGAAACACTTTCAATATAATTATAAAATTTAAGATAAATATAAACAAAAGTGTTTACTATAGATATATTTTACAAGCAAGGCTAAATTATTTTCCAATAGATTCATAATATGACATAATGGTCATTTAGTGTTTGGCTCACTGTAGGAACAGAAACATATGATAGGTAATTAATTGGTGTTCTCATAGACTCCTACACTTGGGCCTTCTCGGAAAGGTCATCCACATTGACGAGAACTGGTATGTTTCTGGAACTCTATAACTCAAGTGTAGTAATAAAGAGAAATGCTCTCTTTCTTACATGAAATACTCACCAGATAGCAAGCTTTGGTGGTTGTCATTAGGCTATCTGTGAAAAATGCAGGGAGCTGAGTTTAGGTAACCTGATATAGTTCTCTAGTTTTCTTTATTTTTATTTTTTAATTTATACAGTTTACTTTCAACATTATTTTGTATTGGGTTTAGGTGTACAGCGTAGTGCTTAGACAATCATATACTTTACAAAGTGTTCTCTGCCCCTCCTCGCCCACCACCAATATTTTCAGTACCCATCTGGCACCGTATATAGGTATCACAATATTATTTACTATATCCCCTATTCTATACTTTACATCTTCATGACTATTTTGTAAGTACCCATTTGCACCTCTTTTTAAAATATATTTTTATTGATTTCAGAAAGAAAGGGAAAGGGAGAGATAGAAACATCAATGATGAGAGGAAATCATTGGTCAGCTGCCTGCTGCACGCCCCATAGTGGGGATCCAGCTCACAACCCATGCATGTGCCCTGACCAGGAATTGAATCGTGACCTCCAGGTTCATAGGTCAATGCTCAATCACTGAGCCACACCAGTCAGGCCAATTTGCACTTCTTAATAAAAACATGGAATGCTTCAAGAATTTTGCATGTCATCCTTGTGCAGGGGCCATGCTAATCTCTGCATTGTTCCAATTTTAGTATATGTGCTGCCGAAGCGATCACAAGTTCTCTATTTTTATAGGTGAGGAAAGTGTGATTCAGAGAGTCATTTAAGGAAAATAATGTGAAAAGCATGGTCAGAGAGGTGGAATAAGGCCAAGTGAAAATATGTGCCATGCAGCAAAGGCGTGAATGATCTCAAATAGGGGGGTGACGTGGTCAGGCTTTAGAACCATCACTTTAGTGGTGTAAAATGGATGCTACATTCCAGCCTTATGCATTAGCAGTATCCTGTTGTGAGTGCTCCCATATCTCCTTGCCTCTGTGAATGTCCTCCCCTGGAGTAGGAGTAGCCCCCTTCTTTGTCCACCAGGCTCATCCTCCCTTCAAATATCACTGCAGCATGGCCTCCTGGTGGAAGACTCCTAGGAAGTCAGTCACCATTCCTTTTGTGCTCTCCCAGGAGCCACCCGGAACATGGTACAAAGGTTGTTGATATATCTGGTTTTTCCATTAGACTGGGAGTTCTTTAAAAACAGGGACTGGGTCTTAACTATATTTCGAAATGAGAGTGCCTAGCATGGAGCTTATAGTCTAGGTACTTAAAAAGTGCGTGTCACCACATATAGGCAGTATTAAACAAAGGATAAAATGTTGCCTTCCCACCTCCTTTCTCTGTCTATCCCACACCTGGTATTGCCTCCTGACCCTGTCCTCGATTGCCTTTGGGGTGCCCAGAGCCCTTCATTTAATCATCCCACCAAAGCCTGTCCTCAAATCTCTCAAAGCCTAGAACTGTCCCTTTCCTCTGGCACACTCATTGCTTCCTAAACACTAAAGCTGCTCACTGGCAAAACTAATTCATGTTAGACGGTCAATGACACCATTTTCCTTTTGAGAGATACTTTCTCGAGTCCTAAGGAAAGAACAGCTGATGGTTGAATTTCAGGCACAGAGGCTGCCCAGCAGAGAGGCAGGAAAGGGAGGCATTTCTCTGTTAGGGCGTTCAGTCGCTGATCCCTAAAATCACATTCTGTAGGCAGCTGTCGACACCATCTACATGTGAACATATAAGGGCTGCGGGGAAAAAATGTTCAGTTCACAAAAGCATCGTTATTTCAGCACTCCTCCAGCATGTGTACAGTGTTTTAATGTAAATGTGGTGTTTTCCTACTTTAAAAAAAATGTTATTTAATTTACTGGGGTGACATGGGTTAATAAAATTATATAGGTTTCAGGTGTACAATTGTACAATACATCATCTGTATATTGTATTGTGTGTTCTCCACCCCAAGTCAAGTCTCCTTCCATCACTATTTATCCCCCCTTATCCTCGACTAATCTCCCCATCTCCCCCATTCCCTCTGTCATCACCATCCTGTTTTCTGTATCTTTGAGTTTTCCTTTTCTTTGCTTAATCCATTTAACTTTTCCACCCTACCCCTCGATTCTCCTTCCCTCTGATAGCTGTCAGTCTATACTCTTTACCTATAAGTCTGTTCCTATCTTGTTTGTTCATTTATTTTGCTGTTTAGATTCCACATATACGTGAAATCATATAAAATTTGTCTTTCTCCTACTGGTTTATTTCACTTAGCATAAGAGTCTCCAGGTCCATCCATGTGCTGCAAAAGGTAGGATTTCCTTCTGATTTATGACCGAGTAGTATTACTTCATGTGAATGTACCACAGCCTTTTTACCCACTCATCTACCAGGCTGCCGATCCGGGATGCTTCCAAATCTTGGCTATTGGAGTAAATAACGACACAATGAACAGAGGGTGTGTATATTCTTTCAAAATAATGTTTTGGGTCTCTTCAGGTGTATTCCCGAAAGTGGACTCACTGGGCCATGATGCAGTTCTATTTTTAATTTTTTCTAGTTAATTCCATACTGCTCTCCACAGTGGCTACGCCGATCTATATTCCTACCAACAGTTCACAAGTGTTCCCCTTTTTTGCACATCCTCACCAACACTTGTTGTTTGTTGATTTGTTAAAGATAGCCATTCTGACAGGTGTGAAGTGATACCTCATTGTGGTTTTAATTTGCATTTCTCTGATGGTTAGTGGTGTTGAGCAACTTTTATATGTCTATTGGCTTCTTTAGAGAAGTGTCTATTGATATTTGGGGGCTTTGCCCATTTTTTAAATTAAATTGTTTATTTGGTGTTGAATTTTGTAAGTTCTTTATAAATCTTGAATATTAACCCCTTATTAGATGTACAATTGGTGAATATGTTCTCCGATTCAGTGGATTGTCTTTTTGTTTTGTTTATGATTTCCTTTGCTGTGCAAAAACCTTTTAATTTGATGTAGTTCCATTTATTTATTTTGTTTCCCTTGCCTGAGGCAACAATAGTGGGGTGAAGAGCAAGGGAGAGAGAGGCAGGGGTGGGTGGAGGTGGACAAAGTGTGGGGAAGAGAGACTCCTGAAATAATGTCAAAATTAATTTTTTTTAATTAAAAAAAAATTATTGCTATGAGAAATGCCTGAGATTTTACTGCCTGCTTTCGGCTAGGATTTTTATGGTTTTGAGTCTAACATTTAAGTCTTTAATAGAAGCAATTATTAGTATAGCCCCACTGTTTTGTGTGTGTGTGTGTGTGTGTGTGTGTGTGTGTGTGTGTGCACCCGCTGAAAGAATATTAACCACTCACACACACACACACACACAAAAAAAAAAAAAAAAAAAAAAAAAAACTCAATAGCACACATCAACATGGAGGAATCTCAAAAATGTAATGAGAAAAAACAAGTCACAGAAGAGTATATCAAGTATGATTCTATGTATTTCAAGACAATCAAAATAAAACCATGTATAGCTTATGGATGTATTCATAGGTAGCTAATCCATATAGAAAATCAAAGAAATGTTTAGCACAAAATTCAGGCAAGTAATTACATCCATGAAAAAGGCAGGGGCAGAAGGAAGGCTTGGCTTCTAGGATAAAGTAATATTCTATATTTTTGTTTAGCTAGACAGTGGATATTCATTATAATATTCTTCTTTTAAAATTGTATGGCACATTTCATAATAACCAAAGGAAATCAAGCACTCTAAAAAAAAAAACTGAACAAAGAAACTAATAATTCACAACCCACCACCCAGAGTTAACTATTAATTGTCATCAAGATATCTTTCTTTTTACATACATACACACATATGCACACACAAATTCATATACCATAAATACTATTTGTAGCCTGCTTTTTTTCAGCAATGCACCATATATATTGTTGTGAAATGAATTCCATGACATACAATTGAGTGTTCAAAAACATCATGCGCTTACTTAGAGCTCACACAAAAAGGAATGTTCTCACCCAGTGTGATTAAATGTATTTTCCTCAGATCTCCAGGATTCACATGACAAGAAGATTTTAGATGTTCCAAACAAATTCCTATAAAATGCCTACCTTTCCTAAAAAAAAAAAAGTAAAATAAACTTAGCTATACAGCATTTCTTGAATCCATAGTCAAAACTAGGTTTTTTTATCCTTGTAAGCTAAAACCTTTTTTACTGTAAAACAAATGTGCCAAAAAATGATATTCATCATTTCCAACCCAGAAAAATATAACCATATTATATCACAGCCTATAAAATATTGAAAATGGAGGGGTGATTTTTTTCACTTCTGACGTTCATGCCATATGTAAGACATAGACACGTGGCATTCTAGTTCTTTTCTGTTAATAGCAGTTATTTTCATTGAAGACCCCAAATTATGTCTCAATCATGGTGACATTTATGAATCCTAATTGCCTGTTCCTAACTGCATTACTAAACTATTGTTTTAAACTGACATGCCTTCTGGACCAAATTATTCCCATGTACACACTACTTGCTAGCCAAAGCCTCCGTAAATATTTCCTATGAACTTGAATTTTTCAATACGGCAAGCCACAACTGGTAACCATACACTTCACACTCATGGCTTTCTATAAATGTTTTAGTTTGAAATAATAAATGCTTTTAAAAATACCTCCACTTTGATAGGAAAACCCTAGTCACCTCACAGCTCATTCCCACTTTTTAGTAATTTTTCTCTCATCAAGTTGACTCAGATTGAAAACATCTCACCATGAACTGAGAGCCACAGAACAGCCTGACAGAGGTCCCAGAGCTGAGGGTGAGGGGCCAATGAGCGGGACCTGGGAACTCATAGAGAAAGGGATTTTTCTTATCAAAACATCATCGCGAGTTTGGAAATGTGCTCACAAAAATAATTTTGGCTGAAGCAATTTCGTGCGTTTCCCACCCTCCCCCCAAACCATACTTTTATCAGACTGAGAGATTGTAAGACTCCACACCTACAATTCAAGTTTCTCATTTCCTCCAAAGTAAACGAAATTGATTTTCTGTAGCTGCGGCCGTTTAAAAGGATTTTCCCTTTTTAAGTAAATGCCATGTGCACAGATACTCCTGATTCATAAAGCTTGTCATTCACAAAGCAGGAGACGTGCAGAACAGCCGTAACATGCAAGTGTTATGAGATTTGCAGTAAACACTATGAACGGGGTGAGTAAAAGCATCCCACTGAAACCAAGGAAACTTCTGAGGAGTTAGAAGTGGAACAAATTCACTGGGTGCGGGTGAGGATTGTAACATTTAGGTGATCTTCTTAGCTCTGTGTTGTTGTTTGCATGAGTTGTGTTTTCTTTTGTTTTGTTTTGTTTTTCCAAAGAATGCATAATCTGGAAAAATGTAGGATAGTTCATTGACTCTATTTTGAAAATTGTCCTTCTTAGATATGAATGATTCAAGCCTATGTGTTTGCTGTGCCTTAAATACTTCTTTTCCGCTTCGTGCTTTCACAGGATCTGTACCACAATGAGCAGAACATTCATAATGAATCTGCAGGCAAAAGGAAAGATCACATGTCAGTTGGGACAGATGTACAGATTTGAATTGTGACGACTTGGAGGCCTTGGGCCTCAGGTGGTTAGTGTAGTTATATGAAGCGCCAGCGTGAGAAGGACGATGGCAGGTTGTTCTGCTTCCCTGGCCTAGGAAAACATCTGTGTTACCATGTTTGTTTGTTTGTTTGTTACCCTCGA